CTTGAAGAGTAATCTCCCTATGTCATTTAAACGCCAACTCATCGATTAGTGCATCCTTTTTTTTTTTTGACGGGTGGGAAATCTTTATGGATATCCCTGAGCCCAGGGAGACTCTGGGGTTATGTGGGGACTCTCCCTCTAGACTGGAGGGCCTACCCCACTAAAACCCCCCCGGGTTTCCCTCTCGCCGGTTGAGTCGGCGCCGTGGGATCAGTGAACATTCACCACGACATCGATTAGTGCATCCTGCCCATCTTAACCTACGGTGCACAAACATGGTCGCTGACTGAGTTCCAGAAATCTAAACTCAAGATCTGCCAGAGGGCGATGGAACGCAGCATTCTAGGCTTCAAACGTATTAACCGAGTACGCAATACAATGCTGCGTTCGATGACTGGCGTTGCTGATGTGGGGAGCAAAACAGCCAGGCTCAAGTGGGATTGGGCGGATGCGGATGCAACCTGTGAAGTGGGCGAACGCCGTCACTCCTTGGGTGCCCGAGGATGGAAAGAGAGGCGTGGACGTGGCGGGACGACCTTGATGGGTTAGAGAGAGAGTGGTCGCCAAAGACAGGGAGCAATGGACGATTTTGGGGGAGACCTTTGTATACAGAAAATAATTGCTAAATTTGTAAACAGAAAATAATTAAAATCAATTATAAGAAATTCTTATAAGTATTTAAACAGTATGTGGCTGAATTGCAATTAAATTTCGGTTAAAGTACATTTTAAGCGAATGTTTTAATTTTGAACTTAAGTAACCTTCTTGCTTGAACTTGGACCTAACCTATGTAAGGAAGTATATCATGCCACAAATAAAATAAAAAGTGCTTGAATGATGGTGAAATAAAATGCCTTGATTTTTTAATTTTTTTTCTATATTTTTGTCGCAAAAATGAGTTTTAGTGAGAAAAACAATAACGAGAATATTGTACCTAATGGACACACATTCTAACATATCATCAGAAATTCAGCAAACTACTATAATTGTGCCTGGAAAAACAATAACATTTTCTTCATAAATGATACATTACACACCCATATGACTATATGTGGCTTTATTATACCAAGAGTATGAATTAATTTTCAAATACTATAATACATTAGCGACCGGTATCGATAAATTAAGGCAGTGTAATTATTTGCTGCGACCGAATAAACGTGGCCCGGACATTGGAAACGTTCGCTGACACGAACATGCCACACGTATATGTCAATTACATGAATATGAAACAAGTTTACTCCAATTTCGAACACTTGAACATGTATTGACAATCTTAATACGAGTGCAGTCACGTGCATTAACAGAATATAACTCCATTTTCGTAAAATATGTTTTTTTTAAATTTAATGTTAGGGCTTAATGCTTTGGGGGAAAATTGAATTTGAAATGTAAAGGCGGTCGGGAATTTGAGAATTTTAATGACACATGACTGTATTTTAAAATGTGTTGTGCTTATAAATATTGTGTAATGGGGTTAGCCCCACGGGATTAGTCCCGTAAATAATTTTGTTTTTTTTTTTAAATTATCCTCCACTTTATAGAATTGGCTCCATGATTCCAAAATACTAGCTGCCTCAAAAGCACACTTTGTATTCTCTACTAACACATCAGCAGATATTGTCTGAGGTTAATTGTCTATCGCCGCTTATAAAATACAACAGGACGTCTTCAAATTGGCATTTCCTACATTATATTCGAGACAGAGCATTTTTACCCCTTTTGATACATCTTGTGAATTGATATAAAAAGGTACAAAAGATATAAAAAGTACAAAAATATACGGGTAAATTGCGGCCCACTCACACTTGAAAAAGACGAGCTTGTCAAGCTATGCGGGTTCAAATGAAAGAGAGTAAGAAGTGCGCTTCAGATACAGCAAGGGCTTTATTATGTCGATTTTGATGAGGTACGGGTAGATATTCGAATACCCGAAGCAACCCAAGAGACAGAGCGTGGGTGCACCACATTACCGTAAATCAACGTGACCTACCACAGAAGTCGCGTCCACGCTTCATGTTTTGTATTATGGAATTTGCATCTGTACAAGCTTGAATTGGGTGCTTGAGCTATATATTGCAGTAAATTATTTTTCAGGGCATTAATATAGTGTGGTATTATAACTTTCCTTAACTTTTAAACAGGTTTTACGGTAAGTAGATATAAAGTTTAAATTACAATACAGCTTCTGTAAGTTACAGGTATTTAGTCGTTGAAAGCTTTTAGATTATAAGCGATAAGTAAAATTTTGGGTCAGCGATCAGAAGTTGCACTAAATTCATTTTATATTTTAGCTCTGTTTATCATTTCATCACAACATGTTCTGAATGCTCACCTAAAACATACCTAAGCTTTTCTCCGACCCCAGTGTGAACCGACCACGAGCTTCAGCCGAAGGCTATTGTTCGTAAAAGTAGCTCATTACGTGACAGAGCGATGTTACTTGTGATAATCCAGACGTTAATTACAGAAGTCAAGATACGATCAACTTCTTTTAGAAAAACGGACCACTTAATTAGTCCTACTTATTTATCGCACTCGGATTAATAAAGTGACGAAAATCGAAATGTAACAATTTTGGGGAACACAATAGACCGTCAGTAAGAAATAAAACGATCCTCACAAAATAAAGTTATAGTTTTTCATATGAAATTTGTAAAAAAATTGTAACGGGCACCAACCACTTATGTTTTTTTTTTTAAATTATTTTTACTGATGATTATAAATAACTAATTACTTAAAAATTACTTAACGGACTTTCGTCACGTTATTATTGAGGATATTATTATAAACTTACGTGCTTGTCAAATGATTGCAGATGTTTATTGTATCTAGAAATCAGCGAGGGGAATAACAATATACTTAGATGAAAACAGTAAAATATATTACCAAAAACAAAAGAGTAGTGCTACCGTGTCAAACCAAAATACTGCAAGTCCCAGCGTAGTGTTTTGTAGTTTTATAACTACTAGAATCCTTAGGCTTTTATCAAGGCAAATCAAATTTATTCGTTTTTCAATACACATAGTTTATTATTAACCGACTTAAAAAAAGGAGGAGGTTGTCTATTCGACTATATTTTCTTTTGTATATATAATATTTTTTATTGCACCAAATAAATACAACAGAGATATTAGATTAACAGAAAGTGAGCAACTCTTCCAGTCATGTCAGGGCAGTGAGAGCGGGCCATAGCGTGCAAGGGAGAATGAGAAATAAATATAATAAAGTACATAAATTAAAAGTACCGTTACTTACTTAAGTAATATAATGAATCATAACAAATAACATCAATATGTATATAGTGTAATATACATACACATAAATGTATACACATAGGTACACACATATATATATATATATATACATAAATAAGTATGTGAAAAAAACAATAAGATGATTATGAAGAGAGTTCAGCAAACAAGTGCGCTTTCAACCTTTTTTTGAAAGAAGCCAAGATGCATGTTACGCGATTTTGATGATTCTTTTTTATTGGTCCCATTAAAATTTGATGAAAATACTCCACCTCTAAGGGTGGCAAACTAGGAGATGAATCCGCTTTCACGCACTTTCCGATAACCGATTTCAATAAAACTTGGCAAATAGATTTAATTTCTCGAAATTTTGAGGTCGGTTTTTTTAAATATAAAGTTGTAATTGTAAAATTAATTAGAATGGGCAGATAGAATTTATAAATATCTAGTGTACAAAGTAAATTAAATTTTATGTTGTTAATTTGAAAAACAAAACACTGAATAATTCTTTTGCAGCATTTTCTCAAATTGCTATTTTTGATATAGTTTTTTGATTCCAGTGTATTTATTGGGTTGACACGGTAGAGTGTTAAAAGTAATTGCTTTCCTCAGTCAGCTGCTTAAAATGGCGCGCGTGTGTTAAGGTAGGCGACTAGCGACTGCATCACGTTTGCATTGCTGCTAAAGTCGTCATGTGTAACTCGAGTCTGTTTCAGTAAGTAAATTGTCAGTTCATTATTTCAACTTCAACTGGAATCATTTGACAAGTTCTAAAACGTGTATTACACACGTGCCGTAATCACAAGAAGCTTTTGTTACCCAAAAAGCAGTAATGATTAAAAGCGGGACGCTTTTAACCGTTTACTGTAGACTACAGCGTGTAGCTAAAGCGAGTTTAAAATGGCTGTCAGATGTTAGATAATTCTGCGACAATTGAATATTGTAAAAAGAAATATGTCAACCATTTTAAATTTGTTAACGTAATTTCATAATTACTACATTCGTTTACAGTATTTGAATGCTGTACCCTCGTTCAAAAAGACGAGTGGGACAATTCTGAAATGAAAATCATAGACCAAGGGAAGATTTAAAGTGAAATGTAATTATTTTTGTTATGATAGTTTGTGGTGTTACCACAATTTGATTGACATAAATACATGTACCTTATATGTGTATGTATAAGTATATCTTTTAATTAATTTAGGTTATATACATAGAAGCTTTCTCTACATGAACTTTGTTTGTAATACTTCAATTTAATTAAAAATTGTAAGAGTTGTTTTCTTGGTCTTCGATTTTTAACTGCATTGTAACAGAATAACATAGTCAGAAATAATGTGAAAATTCTTATCCCTTAAATTAGAATTAAAATTCTCAATATGGTGGATTGATTTTTTCAAGCAAAAATATTTCATTTTACATTGTTTCCATCTATTATTTCTGACTAGAACTGAAATAAAGTAGATTATTTATATGTTTTTTATTCTCCAGTGCTCGGCATGGACAACTTCTGGGAGACCCTGGAATCTTCGCCAGAGGGTCTGAATGGCGAGAAGACTCTTGAAAGGTTTGTAACTTATTTTAAGAATTAAACTCCTTAATATATAACTCAAAAAGGCACACATTTACCAGTGCAAGTTGAACTCCCGATAATAAAGCTTTGTAAGCCCGGTCGGCTCAGCAAATACACCTCGGATATCTTTCGAAATAAGTTAATGGATGGCGTAGATCTTAGTGTATTGAATTAGGTCTAATGAAGCTCATAATTCAAAGAAACAGCTGCGTATATTGTTCTCAGCAATGACCGATGACAGTTGACAGCGATGACCCATATTTTCAAGCACAGTCATTGAAAATATGGGCCATTCATTTCAACACTATTGTTTGTTTTATATACGTTTGTTTTTGTAACAATTTATTTAATTGTGATTTGCCGTGTAGCTTGTTCAACTGGTTTACGAGTAGCACTAAACCACATGACTAAAATAAGCGATTGCACGAGTAAATTCGTGCTACGAAGTGGCGTAGCTATTGAACGCTACGCGGCGATAGGCGGTACTTACACCGAAAAGCGTATAAATTTAGGTATATAACGTGTATGTAGGTACGACAGTAAAAACCATTGAATAGAAGAATACAATTCCAAATCTTTGACTATGCTTTGGAATAGACTCAAAAAGTATGTTTTTCACTAATTCAGAAGTTTGATCCTAATAACGTTTGCGCACTACGTTCGATTAGGATCACTTCCGAATCCGAGAAATAAAGGTCCGAAATGTCACAAGAATCAATTTATCTTTAAAAATAGATAGGTACATCTATGTGTACAGCCGATATCATATTTTCTCGGATTCAGACTTTGTGCACAAGCGACATCCGAAGTGGGTTCGAGTTTTCTAGATTTGTATAGTTTGGGACAAAATCCTTTACAAATTGCCTTTGACAAAATACCTGACATGTCCAGGTATTTCGAATTTAATTGCACAAGCATTTAATTTCAAATGAACAAAATATACCCACGCAAGTTATAAACTATTTCAAAAATGGAATGTGAAAAACTGCTTTATTTAGAAAGTTCTAAACAAGTTCTGAATTGTGAATCAAAAGTAATAAATGGTACTGACAGACTCTCAGTCATTTTGAAATAATTTTGCATTTTAGGTTAGTTATAAATTCCTTGGCAGAAATTGAAGTAGATTTTCAAAACTTTTTTCTACCTATCTGTAGCGTATTCTATATACTTATAAACGACAATAATATAATAATGATGATGCATTTGATAGGTATGAAAGGAGTTCAGTGCGCGATGGCTGACTGTGAACTAATGATACATATGTCACATGAATACTTAAAATTCTGCATGAACACGGTAAACAGTATTGCACAGTACATTATCAGTAGAAAGATTGACAAATACTCTTACTACAGTAGTAAGTGTTATAGCATATGCCAACGATACGATAAGAAGGAAATGAAGTAGAAGGAAGTTTTGAAAATTCAAATGTAATAATTAAATCAAACAACACTTACAGCCACTATTGAGTCTAAGTACACTTACGAGTGCACATATCCTTATATACGCATTCGTACCGCATTTCAACTATTGTTTTTTGAATAGATAGCTGTATACACAGGACAATCTGTTATTGGCTTCACTAAATAATAAAACAGTTATTTTGTTTTATACTATGTCGGATTTCAGCTATAAGAAATTAAATTTTTCAATACTCAATACCAAGTTTAATAGTATTGGATCTCCTTGTAAAAGAGTTCGTCCAGGGAAGTACTGCCATCTTGCCTATTGCAACTGCTAAGCATTGAGCATGTGAGCATTAATGCGTATCGGTTTTGAAGGGTGGGTGCTGGGGAAATTACAGGTATATGGGTCTTGTCATCTTATGTCTCAGGGGGACGGGAGCAGTGACAGTGCCCCTCAGATCTTAGTGATTTAAAGCTCTTGAGTGGCACTGTAACTGCTTTGGACAGGCGTGTCGCTTGCCACCAGAAGCACGACTTGCTCGTCCAGTCACTTGAAATCATAAAAAAAACACACTTGAAAACTTTCTAATCTAAATTTATCATTACAACATTGTTCCAATGAAACTAAGATAAGAAAATTGACCTTACTCTTGCATTATCAACTTAAAAACTACTTTTAACTTTTTTACCCCAATAACATTGCGCCCTCCGTAAACGATAGTAAAAGGGGATACCTTTTTGCCAACAAACTTTTTATGTTGTTGTTTACGCCTTAACTGTTAATATATCATGTTAATATATCATCAATGTATCATGTTTGAATTAACATGAATTAAATAATGATTTTTAGTCAAAAACGTTAGTAAATTTCCCTAATCAATTGCCACGAATGTGACACTTTAATAAGTACTGTCCGCAAGTTAATTAAATTGTCCATGTGGATGAAATTTCAGGATAAATATTGACAAATCTGTGCTTAATTGAACGCGGTTGACGTGCCTATAATTTTCATGTGTGGCTGTTATCTGGGTAGGCAGGTACGAAATATTTGTAGAGAGTTGGTACAAAATATAATATATAATATAATCAAAATATACAAGGTACAATAAAAACTTCAATGCTAAATAGCAAAACTAGGATTAAATTATATGAATAACTTTTGCATCCTACGGCAAGGTGCCCAATATGCTGGCAGCGTACCCCCTTTGTATGGCTATGTTAATGAATTGGGCAAGGTAGCTGGCCCTTGGGTTTCCCAGATTGCCTATTAGTTTTTTGGATAAAGTTTTATACAGATGAAGGGCGCCGGGACACCACGGGTCAAGGGTTTCGACTCCAAAGGCTGTAAACACGTAGCCAGAGCCGAAGTCCTTGTTTTTATTACTTTTTATTCTGTCCACCAGCTCAGCTACGGAGCCTCTTGCTGGTGTTTCATTATTATTGATACGAAAACAGACCACGCGTCTGTTGCCACACCGGGGCTACCGCTCTTACCAACTGAGCAACAAACCGAGTCGGCAAGTTTTTCGATCTTTGTGTCAGCAATAATAACTAGTTATTGAAAATATTTTCACAAAAAATATATTAAACATCGGTAGTAAAAACCTTATCAATTAAACATGTAAAACTTATTAAACTTAAAGGCACTCGGCCGTATTAGAGTTGTTGCTCATATGTATTTTCTCGCTGGGCATGGATTATCGGGCTAGGAGATGATAGCTCAATAAAATACGGGTTATCTTAATCACTTCACTTATTATTCTTAATTTCACAATCACTAATAGATGGAAATAATAAAGGATGGTATAATTAATTAAGATTCAAAATAATGTCCACCAAACACGTGGGTGCGTACGCAAATCTATATCCAAAGATGACAACCTGCTCCAGATAGCTGCCTCGCTAGTGCTGGGTATTCGCATGTATTCGTTCTACTTTTGATGCTAGGTTGCGCTAGAACTGTTTTAATGACGACCATCGATTAGAGATGGCGCCACGAAGCCTATTTTGCAAATGCGCCGTTAAACTTATTCAAATATTTGTACACAGCATTCCCGTGGACTGGTTTGTGAATGAGATGCTGAACAACCCCGACTTCGCGCGGTCAGTGGTCCGCAAGTTCGTCGATCTGAATCAGGTAATCTCGATGTCTTTTCCGCTTATACTTATAACCGTGTCATGAGCCGGGGCCTCATTACCGAGATGTAACGTAACGTGGCAGATATAGTAACTAGGTTCTAGTGTGTACGCATGAAGCAGTATTCACTTGCTAGAATAAGTACCTGGTTATCGAGGGCTCACTGCAAACAGCACGCTTTCCGCTCGCTGCAATCTCGCGATCCACGTACACACTTTGATTTTTGGTAACATATGCAAAGGGTACGGTAAAGCGGTGGCCACACCGCGAACGAAGCTAGCTCACTTAGCTTTGCTCACATAGTTGCATGCAACCATCTATGGCATGCAACTACTACGCTAGTGAGTACCCGGCTTTACGTGCGTCATCAGAAGTGTAACGCAATAATCAAAAGAAATTTCTTTTATAGGAAAAACTCGCATTAAATTCAAACGTAAGATGTGACATGGAACACAATTTATGTGAAAATGTTTCTAACATAAAAATGGCTTCTCTAAGACACTATTGTCGACTTTTTAATATATAATTTGCCATTTACTCATATAGCCTATTTAAATGGACCATTTCCTTGTTTGTTTTGTATGTATCTCTTTGAAAATACGTACTCCTGATAATAAAATGTTCCAACTATGTAATTAAAGTAATGCCATGGATCAAAAGTTGTTGCGATTTTTACAGAACACCTAACTTAAAAAAAAACTTTTTTTTTAACGTTATTGTCTATGGTCACTTTAAAAACAATATTTTAGCGCGTATTTTAAGAATAAGCGGGAAAATTTTAATTTTAATATTATATTTACAAAAACGCCCATCATCATGATAATGCCAACCAACAGACTAACCACAGACATATTTACAAAGCCATCAAAAACTATTATAGTCAGATTGGGACATGTTACCTTATCCACCGTATTCACTCGACATGACTTCTTCAGATTTTCACCAAATTCTTTGAAAAAACACGAGTTTGATAACGGAGAGACTACACTAAACTAAAACTACACTTGAAGCTCTATTTTATGAAAGGTGAATTCTAAAATTACTCGGAATAAAGATGCAAATTATTGCGACCAACACATACTTGAAAGCTTAATTTCTACTATTTTAAATGTTTTTCATTGATACTTTGATACCGCACCGACATTTTGTATAATCCAACATTATGTTCCAACAATTATTCTACATAAATTTCCTGTGCAAATCAATATCGAGTAATTGGAATCAACATTGTATACGATATTGGATAGGGTGGGTGTCGCCTGAAGGCCATTTTTCACTAACACAAAGGATACTACGAATGGGAAAACACGAGATACGTTGGCGATATGCGATGTGATATCGGATTTGATCTATCCAACAATGTATAGGTAATGTTAACGTTATTTCTATTATTGATTATATGAAAATGTTTAAAAACTTCTAGAAAATCCTGACTTAAACACGAGTCTCCTCTAGTTTAGACCCAATTTAATTGTACCAGACTGTTTATTTTTGGCTACTTAGAATAATAACGCATATAATGATAGTTTCATATCAAACGAACTGTTACAAGTGAGGCAAAAATCAAATTCATGTAGGCTAGTTTTAGTAGTAGGTTAATTTTAGTGAATATTTATATAAAAATACAAGTTGAAACGCGTTACTTCCTTGTGGAATGTGATGTTAGTATCTATTTTATGTTTGTCTGACGTAAATGACGTATGAGGCAAAAATCAAATTCATGTAGGCTAGTTTTAGTAGTAGGTTAATTTTCGGTTTTAGTGAATATTTATATAAAAATACAAGTTGAAACGCGTTACTTCCTTGTGGAATGTGATGTTAGTATCTATTTTATGTTTGTCTGACGTATTTTTACACTCATTTACCGCACATTTTTAGCTAAAATTTTGGAGGTGTTCGCGGTACAAGTTGACCTTAAGCACTGAAGGCACGCCCGCTCGTGTAGGCCCTTTGGGAGCGCTTCAATTTGCCTCACTTAGCGTGTGCGGGCTAGGTTTCTATGCTTTATTATTCTAAGTTTGTCTATTTATTTGATTTTAAATTCAGACAGCAATAAATACATTCTTTAAAAAGTTATATCCATGTAACACAATGTAAAACTAACTAACTTTTTACACGAATTATTAATTGTCGGCGATATGTGGTGCAATCTGGTGTTAGGTTATCGGCCTCAGAATCGCCGATATCAACACCCTTCGGCCAAAAGTCCTGCTTCAATGAAGTCGATAGATGATCCGTCGGCACTCTCACAAACGAATTAAAATTGACTTTGTGGCGGGACTTCAAACGCAATACACTCAGATTAAAAGAGCTAAAATCAAACCTGTCATTAGAACACCATAGTATAACAAACTCTAAATTTTCAAGACCGAGATTCCCAGGATAAAAATCCTGTCACGCGGTGGCCGCGCACACGTACAAACCGCGCTGTTACGTTCATATAAAGTTCCCATACTTGTTTTATTATACTATGAGAACACCCAATAAGATTATAATAAAAATATTATTATTATTAGTATGTAACCAACGCTTATAGGTGACTCGGAATTAGTGGAGGCGACGTTGCAAAGCCTTGAACACCGCCGTAAAGTTGCCTGCTTATCGATATTTTACAGGATATATCACGGAGAGTTTGCGATGGAATTACGCGATTTAATTTCACCTTCCCCGTTACATCACCGGGGGGACTAGACGTAGACTTGGCTTCCACTCCTATGTTGTGGATATTCCAAAGATTCGCACGAAGCCTTACGCTTCCACATTTATATGGCGAACGGCTGTGGAGTGGAATTCCCTGCCTGCAGACTTGTTCCCTGAACGTTATAACTTGAGTCTTTTCAAGGCGAGAGTGAATAGGCATTATTCAGGTGTGCATGCTCCATCGTCGACCTCATCGTAACTTTCCATCAGGTGAGATGGAAGTCAAATGCGAGCTTATATTTTATTAAAAAAAACTCGATATGCCATTTTTTGAATCTATTTATCAGCAGTAGAGCTCCTTATGTTGTGTTTTGAAGGGTAAGGGTGCTAGTGAAATTACAGGCACTTGTGACTTGTCAACTTATATCTCAGGGTGACGCAATGGCAGTGCCCCTCAAATCTTTGCACTCTGAGTGGCACTGCGACTATCATGGATAGGCGTGTCGCTTACGCTAGTAGGCGTAAGACTTGTTGGGTCAAGTGATGGACTTGATATGTAAAAATGTCCACTGCAGACTATCAACACTGTAAAGTCATGATTGAGATACGGTAAACCGATTCTTGGACGTTAGAGAAATAAATAAAAATGGCGGACGTCAACAGTTTTCACTTTTCTCAGCATCACACGATAGAAATAAGTCGGGCAATAAGTAGTCGGAGGCGTCATAGAAAGAGAAAGAGAGAATTTTTCCGGTGCGAGGCATATGAACAAGATATATAAGGCAATGTTGGCATAAATTTAACGACAAAGTAATTGTTTTGGTATTGAACAACGAAACGATGTTTTACGTTACATTCGGTTATTTATAGATTATGTTTTGATTACAATCGATAAAATGGATCAATACTATAAAAAAAAAGTTGTTTTAATTTAATCGACAAAAAAGGGAGGAGGTTCTCAATTCGACTTGCAAACTAGGGGATGAATCCGGTTTCGCGCACTTTCCGGTGAACGATTTCAATAAAACGTGGCAAATAGATGATGATGGCAAATACACGAACTTTTAAGGTCTGTTTTTTACTACTCTGTACTGAAATTATTATTACAGTACATTTTAATCACGTTTTCTGTAGGAATGGAAAACGACATTATTTCGAAATGAATGTCGCCGAGCCGTAATGAGTGACGCCGAGCATAATAATTAGCATCCGATTTAGTGGCACACTCAGATTAGGTACTAGAGTGTATCATGTGCTCGTAATGTATGATTATGATAATGGTCAAATGGTGTCGATATCGGCTATTCTGAAGCCGGTTACCTGACACCAGATTGCTCGACATATCGCCGATAATTAGTTACTATTAATTTTTGTACAATATTTAGAAGCGTATTTTACAGTCACAATTTTTTATACTAACAATATTTTGCAGTCACAATTAGTGAAGTAAAAATTACTGAAGCGCTACGGATGCGCGGCTGTCGCGCCACTGCAGCGCTTCTAAAGTCGCCATTTGTCACTGCTCTTAGAACTCAATTTAATTTAATAATTGTGTACGTGTATTTTGCCTGGTATTTAAATCTTTGGGTGGCACTGCAACTGTTATGGATAACGAGTAGCTGACCATCAGGCGCAAGACTTGTTCGTCTCATCAGTTGATATTATAAAAAAGGAGAAAAGAAATTAACAGTTTATTTTGTTTCAGGATGGCTTGCTGTCAGCGGAGGAACTTCTAAGGAACGTGGTCTAAACTCAGTTCATATAAATTTTACTACTCAAGTACCTATAGTTTACGATCAGTTAGTACCTATACTTTAACATTAATCGCTTAATTTAAACAATTTATGTTTACTTAGCGTTATGGTACTGTGATATAAAAAAAGAACTCGAAAATGAAAAAAAAAACAAAGAACTTGTGTTAACGAAAATATAACATTTAAATTGTTGTTCTAAAATATCATTGTTGTAAATAATTTTAATAAAAAATACGATGTCAATGGCATAAGATTTGTCCATTAAAATATTATGTACTCTAATAATAGTATTATTTTTATAAATAACTTGTTGTGTTAATGAAAGTCTATTAAATACAATTTAACATTTCAAATGTTTATTTGTCCGATTGTTCTGAATATAATATTATTTATTTATGAAGGAAAATCTCAATTGAAAATAATTTAAGAGGTACAAGACTAAAATGTATTTTAAAGATAGCCAACTATGTATCTTGTTAAACAGTAGAGAACTTTATATATTTACTAAAATTTTGACACGATGATAATTTTTGTTATACTACCTTGGTCTCGTATTATAACCCTTCTAAATACTTATTTATTTATTAATTATGCTACGACATGTTTCGAACAAGCGCTTTACAGTAAACATACAAACATGTAAACATGGCAAACGGACATATTTTTTTAAAAGAAGTTCTAAAAGTATGCAACCAAGTTTAAGTTTTTATTGCCTGAAAGATCGAACATCCATTAACGACGTTTGTCATATATCTATGGACACCTATAACGTCTATAGTGTTTTGGTCGAATATGAGTATATGCTTGGTTTTATTTTTTTTTTCAAACGGCGTCTGATATTTCTTCAGAAAATTCTTGGTTATAATTTTCTGGGTAAAATGCTTTTTTGTTTATTGGATGTAACATGATCTTACTGTATTTATTCTTTATTTTGTACCTTCTGTCCATATTGTTTAGGGCTGGTTTCTTTAGCATATGTTTTATTGAAAAGAACAGAAGAAGAAAGAAGTTCTTATATCTGCCATGGTCATGAAAGAAATATTGAAATTATAGCACTTTTTAGCGATTACCTTAAAATCGTACCGTGTCTTTGAATTTTAGGAAAATTTCTATATTTTCAAATTTCATCTTCTTAAAGTCAAGTGTAATAGAAGCAAAATATACTAAATGAAAATAATTATTATAGATTCACAGAAAAATAACACATTGAAAGTAATAGTATATTTTGCATCTGAAGAAATCTATTGAATATAGGCTGGGTCATTTAAAAAGTCAATTTTCAGAAAAAAATATTAGAGAAATCTATCTTGTATAATTATAATATATACCTCTATTCACTCTACATACATACATGTATAGCATTGTAGGATATACGAAATGTGGATGTAATTGGGATACCCATTACATATATACTTAGTTTGTTGTTACCTGTCAAAATTATGGGATGAATAAAGATATACAGGTATCGATGGTGTCGTTTTATTTGGACCTATTTTCATAGTCCTATTTAATAACAGTAGGGAAAAAGTTCGCCCAGGGTAGTACTGCCACCTTATCTATTCCGCCAAGCAGTAATGTCAGCATTACTATGTTTTTACTGTGATTTTGAAGGTGCTTGTGAAATTACAGCCACATGGGGCTTGTCAACTTATGGCTCGGGGTGACGGGTGCAGTGGCAGTGCCCCTTAGATCTTTGCGATTTAAAGATCTGAGTGGCACTGTAACTGTTATGGACAGGCGTGTAGCTTTCCATCAGGCGCACGACTTGTTCGCCCCGTCACTAGATGTTATAAAAATAGTCAAGGACGCCAGCAAGCACTGTTCTGTATACCGTAACCGCTGTATCTTGAAAATCTAATGGCGTGATGTGGCGAGGTTAAAAATGAAGAAATTATTCAATATCTTAAAGAAAAGGGTGGAGCTTATGAATAAGTGCAGGTATACTTAGGCCACGCGACGAGGAACAAAAATAAATTCAGCTATCGTCCAGGGAAAATAGAAGGCAATTGGAGGCGCCACATCAAGTTGAAGAAGTTCCATAAGACACTATCTCCCTATTTCACTTCCTTTAGCGAGGACTAATTGTAAACAAAACAGTTGTCAATGTAAAGCTAGCAAGAGTTTGGATAGTGTGCTGAGCAATCACGACCTGGATGTTGATATATTTAATTGTAATGTTGATGCGCTAAAGCGTTAACTCATGGACATTCTATTTAATTTTATTGAAATTTTGGGACCGTTGGTGCAGGTATTGGGTTGTTGTATTTATGTAAGTGCATGTTGTTAACAAATACTGTTTATTGTTCGTTTGTTTAATGCTCATATTTGATTTGTCTGAAGTTATAGGTGGAAACCTGTAATTGGCTTTATGTTTCTTTCCCTATTTTGATTAAATGGTTGAAGCTATTGGTTTTCCATGAATGAATGAATAAATAAAAATAATTTGTGGCAGTGGTTCGGCGGCAGTACCACCTCGCTCTTTAGAGCGGCAGCCTGTAAAGTAAGGATTGCCATAAGTTGTTTTACAACCAATAGAAGATTTTCAAGAATTCTAAACTACTTCATATTATTTTTTTAAATTTGCCAATGGAATGGCTCCACTAATGACTAGACAAAGAAGGCGCCTATCCCACAGAAAAACTTAAAAAACCAATAGACGTAAAATTACAGAATTACCTTGTTGACCTAATTTTTGTTCCAAACGTGACCAAGTTCACGATGCTATAAGACCCGGGTATTAAATCGGATGTTTAAATGTTTGTAATAAACGCATCTGTAAATATACGGAGTTAACCAGGATAACTGTTTTGTGGTTGAAGATTTGCCAAATAGGTCCAGGCGCAATACAGTAGATATATCTAAAGCAATTATACGCCGAAAGTCACTGGATACCTATATATTCCTTCTTGCAAACAATTTGCACTTCTAGAATGAAAGTGACCTACGTTCAAAAAAATAAACAAAATGAGTTTATACCGAACTATTTAACTACAGTACCGGCATAACTACAGTACGCTATGATGGCCGTTTTGACAGATTACAATATCGAGGTCAAATCGAATTGATTCGTTCTCGAAGAAATATAATCAAATGCGAGTCGCATCTATAAGTTTTTAGATTGATCTAGTTATAAGTTTATTGCAAGGGGCAGCTGTTTAAAAAGTTTTAATAAAGCGAAAATAAAAACGTTTACTAATATATCGTCAATTTTGTATTAAGCTTTGACGCGGAGTTCGCAGGAGGTAGAAGTTATGCTGGACAGCGATCCCTGACGTAACGATCGTATTAGATTTCATTTTTTTAAATCTGGAATTTCGAAAAACAAATGCCAAGGTGTCGTAAAATTATACATTCATAAATTCTACTATACGTCACTATTGATAACAATGTACATCAATGAGCACCATCAACGTAGTTATGCATTAAAACGAAACTTGATGAGCCGTCAAAACGGCCATCATAGCGTGCCGGTACTATAATAATAAACACAGTCTATTAATAAATACAGTAATTTATATAAATATAGCAAATTACTTTGTTTCAGGGCTATATATATTCTATACGTCTTCACGATTGGATATCAGTTATTTATTCAGCCCATACGCACCTTCAAAATGAAAGTGACATAATTCAAAAAAAGCAAAAAATGACTTTGTGTATATAAATCATTTTCATTAGGTTGTTAGTGCAGATTAACTCACCCATTATAAATAAATATTAGACAACGTCATAAACGTTACTCTGATCCGAAAGTGCATGGAAATCGTAAACAGTGAAGGTACCGCAGATACCCGGACCCGAGACAATATAGTAGAGTTCATTTTAAAAGGGATCGAACCCGGACCTCAGAGATGGCGACACCATGGAAACCGATGCGCAAGCCGCTCGACCACAGAGGTCGTCTAATTCTACAAAAATAAATAAAGAAAAGCTTTCATAGAGCTCTCAGAGATAGCGCTATGGCAAAAAAAACGTTAAAAAAATAAAAATCTGCAACTAAATAGAAAATTCGTAAGGTCCGCTAGTCCGTTCCGTGGCTTAGTTCGCATAGCGTCTGGCACGGTTTGCTGGAAGACGTTGGCTCGAATCCAGCCGGTTTGAAGGAATTTTTTCTAGGTGTTCGATCTTCGTACTAATAATTATTACAAAAAAGTCATTAAAGCTGGAAAGGCTTAGACTCACAATACGGGTCTCTTTCAAATGTCAGAAATTCCATACCCGTGTTGGTATGGCACTACAGTATTTAGTGTTGAATCTACAAAGACAACACACCACGCCTTTGGCGAAAAAGTAACGGTTAGGTAGCAATTGTGCCATTTTAAAATCATTATTAGTAAAATGTGATCAAACGTGTCTTGTATTACTTAGATGCCTTTCTTTTATCATTAAAACGACTTAATCTTGATAAGGTTAAACTCCTTCTTAGCTTAAGTTGTAAAAATGAGAGACACTAAATTCTTGTTGGGTCAAATGACAACAATTTAGTAAGAAAAGTGAACTTATACCCGCTTCCGAGTTTCCGTAAATTATATTTTTAATGTAAAATATTGCAGTAATCAATTTCAAACCTTATTTTTTGTAGTCCAATAAGTTGGTATTTTGTGTTGGGTCACTTTCATTTTAAATATTTTTTAAAGGTGTGTGTCAATGCGGGCAAACTTCATTTAACTTCGAGCTATCTCTTTCGTTATTAGTAAAAAAGTGAATGAAGAGTTCATATTAGTAAAGAGCAGTCAAACTACAAAGCCCATAGACGATTCGAATACAGTGAATTACAAGCAAAATTTATTCATTTCATATCGTACAAGTATTGTAGTGACATTTTGTATAATATGGCTCTAGAGGGGACTTGTACGAAGGGAGCAAGAGAACGTACAAACGTTAACATTTACAATGCGTTATTATTCTAAGATTTACAAGTGAACAAGCTATGATGTATTACAATTATTTAATAAATGGAATCAAATTGTGTGTGTGCGTGTGTGTGTGCGTGCGTGCGTTCGTACGTACGTGCGTGCGTGCGTTCGTGCGTGCGTGCGTTCGTGCGTGCGTGTGTGTGAGTGCGTGCATACTTGCGTGGGACTGTATTGTGAGAGAAACAGAGAGGGGCATATAAATGCGTGTTACAAATGTGTGTTTGCCAAATGTATCATTGG